ATATATATATATATATATATTATATATGTATATATATATATATATAATATATATATAGAGAGAGAGAATATATATATATATATATATATAGATCTTAATAAAAATGTATCAGTGACTGTGAGTTTTGCAAACGTGTCATAAGAATATTTTATTAGTGTTATTGTTAACCCTACCAAGAATATTTAAATACACTGAACCATGTGTTCAGCTTTAATGTCTGTACTCCTGAGATTTACAGAGGAACAAATGGTGAGAATGAGTTTAGTATTTAGCTCTGACTGATTAAACGCGCAAATACTTCATTGCTCCTGAGAAACAGGCTTCACTGAGTGGAGCGGTCGACCGTTTCAAGATGGCGGCCCTAAATCTCGTCAGCGCCAATAGACGATAGCGGTCAATGCTGGATCTAGTGATTATATGATATCTATGCACGAACACGACCAGAACCAGAACCAGACGCTGCAGGAGTTCCGTCTCTCGCGGGAGAAAGTGTCACTTTGGAATGTGAACTTTATAAATAAAGTTTTGGAGAAAAGGGCGGAGTCTATATCCGGGTCACAGCGCCCCTGCTGCACAGGAGAAGAACAGCAGCCTGCACATCAGAGGACTCTTTAATATTAAACTACAGACATTTATGTCATTGTTTCATGTTTATTTAGAGCAGATCAGGTTTCAACTGTTACTAATACATGCAGTTTGTCAAAAGCTATTTAAAACTCTAAAGCATTTGTCATTACAGATGTTTAGGTAAATTATTTAAAACAAGTTCACGAGTGGTTGAGTTAAAGGATATAAATATTAAAGCTGCAGAGTTTGTGTACGAGGATGTTCTGATCCGTGGAAGGTCGAAGAAATGTTGAGTTTCTATTGTTTACTCCACGTTTAGCTGTAAAAACTCGTTACAACAAACGCATCCAGTAAAAAACAAAAACTGCACAATATTGATCTCTAATCCAAGTTAATGTGTTCCCAAATTAAAGTTTATAAATAAACAACGTGGACAAAACATCTGAAGAGTGTTTGTTTACCAACAGAAACAGTTGAAGAGTGTTTGTTTACCAACAGAAACATCTGAAGAGTGTTTGTTTACCAACAGAAACATCTGAAGAGGGTTTGTTTACACTGAGTGCAGACCCGTATTCCAGGGTTACATATCAACATATCCGTAAAACTACCGGGGTAAACTCTTTTAAACCAAACAGTCTGACATAGTTCAGAATAAACTAGTTTATGTTTAATTTTATAATTTTCAATAGGAATCTTTCAAAAAGAATAAACATTAAATATATTAAAGAGGAAAAGTGCCTTAAAGCTTTGAGAATTGTTTTTGTGTAAACGAAGCAGTTAAGAGCGTTAACGAGATCAAAGGATCAGAAGAGATTATCCTCCACTGAAATAATCCACTGCAGCTGGATTAAATCATCCAGTTTAATAAAAATAATCCCAGTTTTGAACATCAGCCTGCAGCTGGACGACCCCGGTAACAAACCCGTTGATAAATTTACCTCGTGGTGTCTCTGAGCCTCACATAAGTTCTGCTCACATGAACGGGTCGGTTCAGCCGGTGCAGCCGACCGGCAGCAGATCATTTCCTCACGAGTGAAGTCAGAACCAGAAACCTGCAGACACCGAATTCAACCCATCGTTAAGTAACTGGTCCGTTATCACGGCGCTCCATTATTCTGTCTACCAAACACAAGCTGTTAAAATAATTCACCGCATTAAAGAACAAATCTTTTCTTCTTCCGTCCTCCAGAGACAAAATCAAAGAAAAAACTTCACAACCTGAGAATTTAATTCAGAGGTTTTTACAGCTGATGTGAAGAATTTAAATTTTAACTGAAATATTATCAACAAACTAAACTGAGAACCTCTGAAAGAAGCTGTTTCTACACTTTGTGTTGTCCCACGATTCAGACGTTTCTTGAAGTTATTGTGTCAGACGTGGGAACGCCTCGTTATCTACACGGGTTTTACATTTTCCAGGAGCTTCGGAACAAAAGTTCTGTTTTTCTTTTTTGAGACTCAACTCTGAACACAAAGCATCGCTCAGCCTCCTCCAACGTTCACAAACATTTCCTTAGTCCTCCAGACTTCCTTCAAGTCCCCCAAAGACCCAGAGAGTCCCCCAAAGACTTGAGGAGACTCTGAGGAACTGTTCCTGAGACCATTCAAACCAAACCTTCTTGGACTTTCACAAACATTCAGTCACAGTCTCACCAGAGACCCTCAGAGGTTCTCCAAAATGCTTTGAGGTAAACTGAACTCAGCAAAAACCTCTGAGAGTCCTTCAGAGACTCTTTAAAGTTCACTAAGAGACTCTAGGAAGTTCCCTCAGAGCTTCTCAGAGTCCCTAGGAGTACCCAAGAGTCCCAAAACATCGCTAGAATTCCTTGAGGGCGTCTCGGAGACTCTCAGAGTCCTGACGTGTCCCTCAGAGATCCCTCCCAGGGTTCTCAAGCATCTTCTTGGCGCTGTAAGCAGAGAATCCCATCCCCACTGCTGCCATCGTCATGGCAACAGGCTCCATGATGCTGCAGTACTGCTGGACTCGGACCTCCCCGGACAACTGCCTCTGCAGACAAGACGGACAGTCAGGTCAGAACCGTCCTAGTCCTCACATTAAACCTTCATCTGAAACCCAGTCCTACTGTAGACCCACACAGACCCAGAACAGATAAGGTCGTGTTTCTCAGATTATTTCAGAGATTACACTCACCTGCAGGAGACAGAAGTATCCTGGAGTCAGTCTTCCTAGTCTGAAGATCATCCCTGGTTCTGGTTCTGACCCAATGAGTCCAACAAATCGCCGTGAGTCACAGAACAACCTTAGAGCTTACATCATAAAATATATTTAAAAAGCTTTAAATAGCACAAGACTTTGATGTTTTTCTAATTATTTGTTTCAGAACCACAGAAAAGACCAATAATCAATTATTAATTAATTAATGTTTAACGTTCGTCCTCGTCTGTTATTAAATGTTTCAGCAACACAAAGTTTTAACTTCAACAGCTCCAGTCAAACTCTGACGCTCGTGTTAAATCTTGCGTTCTGTTAGAAATCAGCCGTAAACGCCCATGAGTTTCAAAACACTCGTCTCCAGCAGCAGATTAGAGATTAACTAAATGTTTCTTACAGCTTTTAGACTTCGGTGCTTCTCTGGTCGGCTCCGGCTGTTCTGAGCTCAAATTAAACTCTTCAGCCGTCCGGCAGCAGCCGAAGAGGCTCGGTGCCGCACGCTTCAGGGAACATCTGTGTTAATGCGCTGCGGCGACTTACGTAATCCCAAAACACAAAAATATCTCCAACAAGACGAACGAAACCTTCACTGACGTCTTTATTCATTTAATTAAACGAGAGGCCTCCATGAAGTCGAGCAGAAACTGACCAAATAAAATCATTTGTATCAAAGGATGAATCAAACGTTTTAACTTGAAAGACATGAATTAAACAGCAGCTGGACTGTGTGTGTGTGTGTGTTGGCTCTGACTGTGCACACTGAGGGACTTCCTGTCGTCTTTTAGTCACAGCTGCAGAAATAAAACTCCTTATCGTCTGTGTTTTCACGTGAAGCTGAGCTGAGTCGTGTTTTACAGCGACGCTCGTCTTCGGTGCTGCTGGAGAACCTCAGGTTCTGTGTTGTGGGGTCGGTTCTGATCGGAGCTCCGGACAGCGTCACCTTCAGCCCCGTTGGGCCCAGAGCGCCGGTGTTCTCCACCGTCAGGATGCGGCCGATAAAACCCTGAAACTGAAAGAGACGCAGCGGTTAGACGTGGTTTCTGACAATCTGAGGACTTTATAGGACTCGAGTGAAAGAGAGACAGGATGAAGAAGATCTGAGGTGAGATCATCAGAGGTGAGATCATCAGAGGTGAGATCATCACAGGTGAGATCATCAGAGGTGAGATTATCAGAGGTGAGATCATCAGAGGTGAGATCATCAGAGGTGAGATTATCAGAGGTGAGATCATCACAGGTGAGATCATCAGGAATGAGATCATCAGGAATGAGATCATCAGGAATGAGATCATCAGAGGTGAGATCATCAGAGGTGAGATCATCAGGAATGAGATCATCAGAGGTGAGATCATCACAGGTGAGATCATCAGAGGTGAGATCATCACAGGTGAGATCATCAGAGGTGAGATCATCACAGGTGAGATCATCAGGAAGGAGATCATCACAGGTGAGATCATCAGAGGTGAGATCATCACAGGTGAGATCATCAGGAATGAGATCATCAGGAATGAGATCATCAGAGGTGAGATCATCAGATGTGAGATAATCAGAGGTGAGATCATCAGAGGTGAGATCATCACAGGTGAGATCATCACAGGTGAGATCATCAGGAATGAGATCATCAGGAATGAGATCATCAGAGGTGAGATCATCACAGGTGAGATCATCACAGGTGAGATCATCAGGAATGAGATCATCAGAGGTGAGATCATCAGGAATGAGATCATCAGAGGTGAGATCATCAGGAATGAGATAATCAGGAATGAGATCATCAGTAATGAGATCATCAGAGGTGAGATCATCACAGGTGAGATCATCAGGAATGAGATCATCACAGGTGAGATCATCAGAGGTGAGATCATCACAGGTGAGATCATCAGGAATGAGATCATCAGGAATGAGATCATCAGAGGTGAGATCATCAGAGGTGAGAT